TTTTCAGCAGCTACTGGAGGAGTTGTAACTATCCCCAGCTCCTTTAGAGTAGTAGCATTTGGGTTAGAAGTCTCAGGATATTTATAATGGTACTCATTCCCACTTCTTGTAGCGAAAACTTCTTGTTCTCCTTCAGAAAGTGGTAAAGCTGGGATCTCCTCATCATTTTTCTCAGGAATCGCTGAGGCTCCATAACAGGACTTCTCTTTTCCCTTGCCTTTTGACTTCTTCTTCGATGTGGATGCTTGTTCATCTTCAAGCAAATCCGGATGAACCCAAAGGATTTCGCCGTTGGGGGCTGTGTGAGATACGAGCCCCTTCTGGCGCTGTCCATGAGGGTCATCGTTGATGATTTGCATCTTGACCTTTGATACTGGCTCAGCTTGAAACCAGGACAAAGGAACCGATCCGAAGCTAATAGAGACCGCGTTTGCGCCTACCTTCTTCTCTTTTGGCTTCGGCGTCACAATACCAACATCAATTAATGTTTGAATTTTATCCTTTAAGACATAACATGTCTTAGTAGGATGGTGGACCCTTCTGTGATATGCACAATACTTTGGGTCATTGATCTTCGTGGCTTCTTCTTGGTTTGTGACCGGTGGAAGCTTGATCTTGTTGTTCTCTAATAAGTATTTGAAGATGCCGGGAAGTTCATCATCTTTGAATGAGTATTCCTTCGGAAATCTAGGCTCAGAAGTCTTAGGCTGCCTCGGGGGCTGCTGATTCTGATTTGACGCCAACTGGAAGGATGACTGCTGTGGTTGTTGTTGCGGGGGCTGTTGCGACGTTTGATGTGCATCCACAGCTGCCGTGGACCCTCTTCCTCTGCCTCGAGGGTTAAAGTTCTGCTTTTGATTTTGATTCTGATTATTAGCTGGTGGCAAACCTCGCTCCAAATTCTTTCTCTTGAGGAAGCGTTCAGCTTGTTCACCTCTTACTTTCATCTCTTTCCAAGTTTTAGAGGGAACAACCCCCACCACTTCTAATACATCCAAGGACAGATTATTATGACATGTTTGCAGAATAAATTCCTCAGTGAGTGGATCTCTGCAGTTCACCGCTTTGTCCCGAAATCGTTTGACAAAGACGTCGACCGATTCTCCATCTTTCTGCTTCTCATCCAACAACGTGCCAATTGAGACCTTTGTGTCGTCGTCGAAGAAATTGGTGAGGAATAACTCTTCCATGTCTGCCCAGCTAGTGATACTCCCAGGCTTAAGGCGTCGGTACCAATCGAAGGCAGGCCCGCGAAGGGTTCCTACGAATGACCGGACCATCAGGGTTTCGTTCCCGGATATTGCGCCGAGATGCGACTTGAAATAGATCAAGTGCTGAGTTGGTGAACCCCTGCCATCAAAAGGAGTAAAGTTAATCAAATTAAATTTCTGGGGATAAGGAATCAGGTCCCACTCCCTCGGGTACGGGTATGGAATGCCCGTTTTCTTCACTTCCTGAGCCGTCATCAGAGCGTTGACTTTGCTCTCGAGATCATGCATCTTCTTGTCCTCTTCCTCGCTTTTCTTCAAGTAGATCTGTGGAGGTTGAGTGGATGACTTGGTCGGACCGCTTCCGGAGTTGTCTTTATCTCATTACGCCGGCTGGATTCCGCCTTCTGGCTCGACTCCGGTTGGTGTTGCTGAACCTGCAAGTCTCGCATCTGCTGCATAGTCAACTCCATTTCGGTTTTGAACTCAGCTCTAATTTCTTCGCGTTGTTTAGTCAACGCCTCCTGCAGGATATGAGCCAATTGATCCGGCGTGATTGCAAATGATTCTCTGACTTGCCCAACACTGGACGCGGTATCGTCCGATGCAATGGCGGAACAAGTATCTGACATTTCTTCATCTGAAGAGTGCCCCTCGTGCATTCTCTTGTAATCTCGACGTAGGTTGGCTCTTCTTTGTAACCGCGACATCCTTTGAGAAAGACCCTGCTCAACTCTCCCTCCCGGAGAAAAATCAGGGTCGTAGTTAACTGTCTTTTGCTTTCCTTTATTGGTCATGTTGATAGTGACCTCAGGGAACTCATCTTGTTTGATTACAGGTTTCTTTTTGTTGAAACGTCTTGTTTTGGGTCTTGACGCTTCATTGGACAATCTTTGAAATACGGAGAATCTTGTTGAATTATTCTTAGAGCATCCGCATTCTGTCAACACTGCTTTAATGAGTCTCTCGCAAGCGCAATGAGACTCGTTTTCTCTGACAACCCTCTTTCTTGAGTTATCTTTCTGATAGTACAGCTCATCATTATTGTGATTCGAGCAACCTATCTTTTGCCTTTGAACTTTGTTAACATGCACAGGACGACTGGTCGTCGCCTCTAAGCGATCCAAAGTTGAATTTTTAAATCCACCCCTTTACGGGAGTGGGGTTTTCATAGGTCCTAAACGAGAGTGGACTGATATTCTCTCGTTCCGGATTTGTACAGT